CCTTCCTCCCACAATGGGACATAATCTCATACATTTTAATGGTATTTAATTCCAAAGGAAAAAAAAATGCAGCCTTAGGTTTCTGTTCATGAATGTGTTAATTTATGCCTTTAAAGACCCTCAAGGAGGAATGTAAATGACATGCCAGTCAAAAAAGAGGATGCATGAAATACATTCTTGTATTGGAATTCAGAGAACTATTTAAGCCCAACCAAAATTGTGCTTCGTTAGAATGGGCCAAAAGTCATAAACAAGTTTTAATATGTAACAATGCCTTTTAAAAAAATTTAGCATACCATAGCACCCTATACAGTACATTATATACAATGCTGAAGCATCATATACAGTATACAGGACGTTCTCAAGTTGCAAACAAGATAGGTTCTATAGGTTTGTTCTTAAATTGAATTTGTTTGTAAGTCGGAACAAATACATTTTGAAGTGTAACTCCAGCCAAATATACTGTATCTATATATCACCTTTGAATAGCATAGGGAAGGGTTAACACCCTTGTGGTGATTGTTTTGCTGTCTGTGCCCCTCACTTTCTGTTTCTGTGATAATTGAATTTTGAAAAAATTGGCTTGTAGAAACAAGTATTGGTGAGAAGCTTCAATGGACACCTTTCCCCCATGATAGCTCTTTCAAGAGTGAATTTCCCTTGTGAGGGGTAGACTTCTCTCACTTGCTGTTGTCTCACCCTGTTCTTAACTATGAGTCATTTGTAAGTCAGATGTTTGTAACTTGAGGAATGTTACAAATGTCACAAATTTACATTACTTGTGAAAAATCCGATCTTGTAAATTGAAAATGGAAAAAAAATATTGAATTGTATGTCGGACCTCCCGCCCCCCCCCCCCCCCCCCCGGTGGCTTTTGGCCCACCCTGTATATATGAGAGTGTGTGCGTGTGCGTGTTTCTCTTTCACTGCAACGTTGGTAAGAAGGACTAGTGCTTGAACAACAAAATTTAAAGGCATTTTTGAGTGCATGAGACTACCTGCATGTTTCTTTGAATCTTAACCTTGATAACTAAATCAACACACCGGAAATCCAGAACGGTAATTGGGTTCAACATTGTTAAGACCTAATCTGGTTTTAGAATACACCATCTATAGAAGAAAGCAGATTAGCTGTTTCTGAACTTAAGGGCAATTGGTTGAGTTGATGCAGGTGAACATGATCAGCTTTTATATACATTTATATTTGAAACAAAGGAAGAATTACAAATATGCTTTTGTTTCTGTGATACCAATAATGTAAAATCTGCATATTTTGAGCAGTCTGCACCATGCAGGTAGCTGCCACATATCTGTCTGTTTATATTATATGCAAACATACAATAATCCTGATATGTAACACCACCTTGAAAGTCCTGGCCGAGGCACAATCTCTTTAGGTAACATAGCAACAAGAGTTAAGGATATAATACCAAAACAAAATTAAATGCAAAGATAAAGACAGAAATAAAAAAGTGAAGACTCAAGTAGAGATAAAGCAAAAAAAAAAAAAGGTTTAACATAACACCACTTGATGAATTTTGAATGTTACTGTGATACTTCTTTTTTTAAAGATATGTTTAACATTAGTACCTGTCAAATCAATTTAAAAGGCATGTTCACTAGGTGTCTCCCTGTATACGCTATTTCGTAGTGGAAGACTTAATCTGAAAACATAAATAAGTTCTACGATCCCCCCCTTTTTTTAAAGGTTAGTAACGGTGAAAAGTTTTCAGATGATACTTGAGGAGATTTGTAGATTCCATAAATGTATTTCTTATATTGGATATCTTTTAAATTAGTTTTAATTTCAGTTTTTCAACTGTGACAAACAATAAGCATAGTTTTTGAGAACCATGGTATTAGAAATCTTCTAACCACTCACTGGGAAGTAAGCCCCATTCAGTGGTGTCATTGGGGTGCTGTGGAGGGTGCAGACCCCTCCAGGTGATATTATAAAAGGGGACGACATGAAACGCAAGGATGAGAACAGTAGCTAAGACAGAAGGAAAAGCAGCCAAGTAATGCTGAACAGCCATCTTTGCCCACAGTGCTAGATTTGCCATTGTGCTTAGGTGTATTTAGGCACAGGACCCTTTGGCCAGGGGGGCCTATCTTCTTGCCAAAAAAATATTTTAGGCTGGATTTTGCTTATGTGGTGCAATGTTATATTTGAAGTCATTCTGTTTCAGCAGCATTCCAGACATGATAGAGTTGATAGTCTATGAGAGTGTAGTCTTACTGGGCCAACCTCCTTCAGGTCCCAAGTAAGGGGTCACACAACTTAGCTAGCACAGGGCCTCAGGGCACTTCTACACATGCTGTAAAACTCAAAAGGAACCAAGCTGGGGGGGGGGGGGCAGCTAAATGATGTTTAGCCAGTGTGGAAGGGTTTGGGTTAAGAGCTAAAAAGCACGTTTTAAAAAGGTGTGCCTATAACCCGATTCCCCCTAAGAAAGTGCACCTTTGCATGATTGTATATCCCTGCAGTCATGCAAAACCCATGTTTTCCTTCCCCTCCTCCTGTGTAGGCTTCTCCCGCACTCGTGCGCTTTTAAAACCCACCAAAATAGCTGATTGGGCTATCAAACAGATAAACAGGTGGTTTAAAGAAAGCACAAATGGAGAACAATTAGAACTCTTTACTTTATACTTTATAATCTTAAATAGAGGTTGAACTGAAAATTGGGGAAAGAGAGAGAACTGACATAAGACTTTTTTAAAAAAAAAAATCCCTCCATTATTCTCTGGTCTTCATATGCACACATGCAAATCTGCTTGTGTTTATATTAACATGTGCCACATAATGGAGTGATTTTTTTTAAAACTTCCACCAGATGTCCCCTGTCTGCTCTCCAACTTGATCTGCTATAAAGGAAGGCTGTGAGAATGGTGAGTCACTATATCCTGGGACTGACAGGCCTGTGTGTGGATCTGCTGTCAGGTCCCAGGATTTTTTGTCTTAGATTTAAAACACAGATTTTGTTGCTGTCTGGAAGCACCCTCATTTGTCCTAAATCCAGCATTGTTGGCCCCTTGGCTCACTAAAGGATGGCAGGGAGAGCTTTGCCCTTTTCTTCTTGATTGGATTCTTCACTGTGATTCATAAGGATGCTTCCCTGCTTTTTCTTCCTTTGACATCATCATCATTCTTTGGATAACAAAAAATCCCATTCTCTCTAGTTTCACTTTTCAGCTTCTTTCCCCCACTTGCCATACACTCAATGGCTCTCCCAGCAGGTAAAATGACTTTCAACAGTATACCAAAGCACATGCTTCTGTGTGACATGCTTTGATTTTTAAAAAGTTAGATATGAGCTTAATTTGCAGTTCAGATTGCTGAGAGACCCATTTCCTGCTGCTGAGATTGTCTGTATATTTTTCTTAGTCTTAACCCTGATACATAAATCAACATTTTGGATCTTTCTCTACGCTTTCCCTGTTCTTTTGTGGTCTTGCTATGTGTCACTGCAGCTCCTGTTCTTGCTCTGGTCCCTGGGCAGCATCAGGAGCATGGAATGAGGTGCTGTGTGTGTGTGCGCGAGCGCACACACATGTGTATGTACATGTCTGTGTGCATGTGCACAATCTCAGGATACAGGAAGTGTGGGACATACAGATACTTGAAGATTCTAGTATTTTAACTGCAATATTGTGGTCTAGTGTGGTATGGAAGGAGGTGACGCTGAGTTACTACACTAGGCGACACCAACTCTAGTGATACCACTGACCCAGTTAAATCCATTGAGACCTAGTTGTGAGTATACTTATAACCATTTTTAAAAGAATGATTTGTTACACACACACTTATGTTGACAGTAGTTTGAGATACAGGGGTTTTTTTTTGTCGTGTCAGGAGCGACTTGAGGAACTGCAAGTCGCTTCTGGTGTGAGAGAATTGGCTGTCTGCAAGGACATTGCCCAGGGGATGCCCAAATGATTTGATGTTTTTTTATCATCCTTCTGGGAGGCTTCTCTCATGTCCCCGCATGAGGAGCTGGAGCTGATAGAGGGAGCTCATCTGCCTCTCCCCGGATTCGAACCTGCGACCTGTCGGTCTTCAGTCCTGCCGGCACAGGGGTTTAACCACTGCGCCACCGGCGGCTCCTGAGATACAATGTTCCCTCACTTATCGTGGGTGTTCCGTTCCAGGACCACCCGCGATAAGTGAAAATCCGTGAAGTAGGGATGCTATATTAATGGTAATATTTACATATTATTTTAGCATATGTATAAGAAGTGCACATGCACAGTCTAGCCCTCGCGCTTCCTTACCCACCTCTGGAGCCATGCAGGCTGCAGCAGGCCAGGGAGGCAGGCCTTCCCCACTGCGCCTCAGGCTGCCATTCTGCTGGGGTCCACGGAGGCCAGGGAGCAGGCAGATGCCCTTGGAATGGGCCAGGAGAAGGAGGGGCCGCACAAGCACTCCAAGTCATGAGAGGGCAAGCAGAGCTGGTGGAGGGAGTCCAGGCCCATACACCAGCCTTCCTTTCTGAGGCCTGTTGTAATGTAAATATTTTAGTAATATTTATTTTAAAAATCCGCAAAACAACGAGTCTGCGTAAAGTGAACTGCAAAGTGGAAAGGAACACACTAATATCGAGGTTATAGAAAATACAATCAACGAGCCTATGGAAAGGCTCGTTTCCACCATCTACACAATTCTTCTTCCCATGTAAAGAGATACAGTAATAAAACTAAATAAATAATAAAACTACCACAAGCTGATTTATGAATTCTTAATCTGTTTGTTCTGAGGCACCACAGATAAGCATGTGATTTCATTCTCATTGTACCACCGTTGCAGATGAATTTGTTATGTTATAGTCTCCAAGTGTGCATTCCAGCAAGTGTGATTGATTTTGATAAACCCTACTGAATTTTTTTATATTTCATATAAAATATATTTCATGTATTGTATGCATACCTTTTGTTGCAGGATAGATACAAAAGCATTCAGAAAGTGTGCTGTTACTCATTTATCCTACCTTCTATTGCAATAGGATGGTTACATTGACTTCATGGAGTATGTAGCTGCTCTAAGCTTGGTTCTGAAGGGGAAAGTGGAACAGAAATTGAGGTGGTACTTCAAACTCTATGATGTGGATGGAAATGGATGCATTGACAGAGATGAGTTGCTAAACATCATTAAGGTGAGTTATTTTTCTCAGAGTCTTCCTTAGTCAATGGTTATGCTAATAGCATTTGGTAAATATAAGTGGAAAATCCTAGAAGGAAACTGTCCTTGACCTTTTTCATACATGATATTCAGAAAAGCACTTTAGTTTATCAGTTCCATATTATGGTTGATGTCCTACATCTAGGGGAAAGAACATTATGTTCCACCCACACAGTTCTATGTTCATCCCTTGATTAAGCCCCCCTTTTTTGAACCCCATCCAAAACCTCCTACTATCACACCTGTCAAACCACAAGAAGGTTGCTGCTTACTGGTAGGGAGGGGCAAGAGCAGGAAGACAATTCAGACATTAACAAACTGGTTTAGCTCTGCTTAGAGGGGGAAGGAAATAGAAGTGCACTCGAAGATGGAATGCATTTCCCTATCAATTCTTTAAATCAACTGAATTGCCTCCTCATTTTCTCTCCTCCGATCTTCTTCTTCCTCCGCTGTTAAGCAGCAGTAGTGACCTCTCCCAAGGCTTGGATGTTTTGCTGAAGGCAACATCATAGTACTTCTCATTCCTTCCAAAAATAGCATTTTGGCCATTATTTTTATAATGCCACACCAGAATCCTATTGATGAACCATGTGGATTGCTGGGATTCTGCAACTAAGATTAGGAGAGGGCAATACACAGTCTGATATGCTTGGGACCAGAAGTGTTTTGGATTTTAGAACTTTTGGAATTTGGAAAACCTGATTTGCATATATGGACCTAATGAGATAACATATTAAAATCAACCCCCCTCCCCAAGAGGAGGCTGACCTAATCTTGCCCAGAAGGGAGTTCCATAGCCAGGGGGCAATCACTGAGAAGGTCCTCTCTCTTGTCCCTGCCAAATGTGTCTGTGATGGTGGTGGGACCGAGAGCAGGGCCACCCCAGAAGATCTTATTCTTAGTAGTGGGTTGTAAAGGGAGACGTGTTTGGACATGTAAACTGGGCCAGGACCCTTTAAGGCTTTATAGGTCAAATCCAGCATTTTGAATTATACATGAGATCAATTTATATATAAGTATACAGGCAGTCCCCAAGTTATGAATAAGATAGGTTCTGTATTCTTAAGCTGAATTTGTATGTAATTTAGAATAGGTACATTTTAAAGTGTAACTCCAGCTGCGCAATCGATGAAAAAACTGTTTCAAAGCTCATTACAAAATTAGGGGGCACGGACATTTCGTTTCTAAAGTGTTTCTAAAGTCTCGTTAGTGAGAATTTCATTACTATAATGAAAGTTTAAAAAGTGTTACTTTTTCATTATAGTAATTGTGCTAGTGGAGAAACTTCAGGGGCACCTTTCTCCCTCATTTTATAGTTATTGGGGTGAAACTTGCTACATTGATAGAACACTGTTAGCCCATCAAGTTTCAGAATGTTTCACTTATCCACGAAGTTTTCAATTTTTTTAATAAACAAGTTTTAAAAAATACTATAGGAGCTAGCTCCTTGAATTTTCCATTCAATGACACAAGATAACAGGGGATCATTCCCCCAACTTTCAGAAATATTCATACATCTACTGATTTTAGGGATTTTTAAAAAAAGTTTTGACAAAACTTGAATGTTTTTCATATTAACCATAAGAACATCCATTTAGGGATTTCTTCCTAGACCAGCACAGAGATTTACTTAGTAGAAGTATTAGTCAGTCCTTCTCTTTGCAGATTCAACAGTTTATTGGAACTCTGGCTGGCTGCTGCTATGGAGGGACAAGTCTCTCCCCTATTCTGATTGGGGCTTTCTGATGCTAAGCAGAATTCTGGGAAATGTAGTTTAGGACAGGGCCTTTTGAATTCTCTGGCATAGAGCTCCTCACCTTCCCAAACTACATTTCCCAGACTTCTGTGCTTTCTCAGTCTCTTTCTCAGTGAACTCTGCTTTCTCCCTGCTGCTTCCCTCTCCTAATGGTGAGAGGCCATTAATTTAAAGAGGAATGGCAGCCTTTTTGGCATGGCTTGGCTTGCTTGTGCTGAAAATGAAACACATTGGGAGGGTTCTGAGATTTCCAAAATTCAAACGAAAAAGTAGTGGGTAAGTTTTTGGCGCAGGCCACGCCTACTGTCGGTCGCATAGCCCTAATATATTCCGGGGGGGGGGTGGCTTTGGGTAGCATAGGGAAGGATTAACCCCCTTGTGGTGTTTGTTTTGCTGTCTGTGCCCTTGTTCAGAAGGTATTACTTCACTTTCTGTCCCTGTGATAATTGGATTTTTTAAAAAATGGCTGGCTGTGGAAACAAGCATTGGTGATAAAGCTTCAGTGGAAGCTCCTTTTTCTCAAAACTCTTCCAGGAGTTAATTTCCTTTCCAAGGAGCAGATTTCTCTTACTTCCTGTTGTCTCACCCCTGTTCTTAACTATAAGTAGTTTGTAAGTCAGATGTTTGTAACTCAAGAACTGCCCGTATATGAGATTTCAGATTTGTGAATTCTGGATAAAGGATGCTCAACTGGTATGACAGAAAACAATTTTGTTGGTTCCACAATGTCTGTTGAAATCAAAACAGAATCTAGAATAGAAATGTTGATGCTCCTTTTGAACTCTGGTGCACAGTATGGCATATATTATAATATATTATAATTTTAGAATCAGAAATTAGTTTTTGATTCCAGTTGGAAAAAGCCACTTGAGAAATGTGTTGATTCATTTTTCAGAAAAGAAGTCTTTGGTTTTTCATGCAAAAATTGCCTTAATCTGAAATAAACTCATTAAATGTTGTCCATCTTAATTTCTTGCAGGCAATTCGCACCATTAATCCATGCAATGAAATCATGTCAGCTGAGGAATTCACGAACATGGTGTTTGATAAAATTGATATAAATGGAGATGGTAAGGATAAAATTGAGGTTTTATCTTAATTATTGTTCTTATGTGCCTTTAAGTCATTGATAGTGGGAAATATTTACGTTCCATCATGGAAACTTATGCTAAGGTTTCCAAATAGCATCAGTGTGTCGTACAGGAAATCCAAACAAAGTTCAATAAACTGACAGTTTTCAGTTGATTGAGAACCATCTCAATTAATGAAAGATCCAGCAATTCAACAGGAAAAAGGAGAGGTTCTTTGGGAAAATGAAACTGTCCTGCTCAATCAATTTGTTTAGTCAATGTGAATAGAAGAATTTAGGTGTCAAATACGATAATTCAGCAATTGGGTAGAGGAATGTAAATTCAGAATTTAAAAGAAAGATGATGAATTGGTCAGACTGGATATACTGAAGATCTATTTAGGTGGATCAACCATTGTAACATCCTATGTGTGTATGACACATATGCGAATATGACTTTTAGAACTGTGCTTGCAAAAAGGGGGGGAGGGGGAATATTAAAGGAGGAAAGAAGAGAGTATATAGGTTTTGAACATATGAGCTGACCATATTTCTCAAAATATGTTTTCTTGAAGTTGGCATCTAGGAAGTGCATGCTTATGAATAGCTAAAGCAGATATTTTCTGATCATAGCACCATAAGTGGGAAATGTTTATCTTTCCAATGTTAAAATGCAAATCTTAAGACAATGGTAAGAACACACAAAAACCAACTAATGGTCAAATGGGGCATTAGTTCAATCCCATGTCCCAAGGATATAGGTGAAAAAATATGTGTGTCTATATATACATTACTATACAAAATTTTTGCTTTGTAATATTTTCAGTCAAAAAGGGGTAGTCAGTCATTGAGCATGCATATATCATCATATCATACAGGGAAACATGATCAGTACTGTCAACATTTAGCTGAAGTGGTCGATTTCTTTCTAAATAGTTGTAATCATTAGATCTTGGATTAAGATCTAGTGAAGGGGGCACATTTCAACATACCCCCATGTTGATGGGCTGCTGCTCTTCACATTTGTCACCATTGGTTATGATAGCTAACCATCTCATCAGACAGGGTCATTTTAGCATCCTAGGATGCTTCCACCCTATCTGGAGGACTGATGGGCTCACTGCCCATCAGGTGACCCCAGAAGCCCAGTGAAGAGGGGTGCTTCGCCAGGACTTGATGATGAGGTTGCAAGTCTGAATGGATTTGCAGTCCAATAATATCTGAAAGACTGCATGATTTAAATTCACAGATTTTCTATTCATTGGACACTAAACAAAATACTTGAGATTTTTGAAAAACAAGCTCAGATTTTGGCAAAAAAAAAAAAGGCACACAAGCTCTAAAACAGACATGGACACCTTGTGGCCCTCCAAGTGTTGTTGGACTGCAACTCCCATCCTCTACCATTGCCTATGCTGATTATGGTAGAAGAACATTGCAGTTCTATAACATTGTTCAACCCTAACCTAGAAATGGCTACTTGGATTTCCATTATCTGAGTTATGCATGAAACCAAATGCTCCTTCTTACTTTAGGCTTTGTAGAAACAAAATTCTTGTGTGTGTTTCTTTAGGTGAGCTATCTCTGGAGGAGTTCATGGATGGTGTGCAGAAAGATGAGGTTCTACTTGAGATTCTCACCCGTAGCCTGGACCTGACACACATTGTTCGAATGATTCAAAATGACGGGAAGAATCCTGATGAAGGAGGGACAGCACAAGCTGCTCAATAGACCATTTGTTCTTGTTTTCTAAATATTCATTTTTGTTTTGTTTTTTTTTAAAGAAAGAGAAATCTAAATAAAATGAAATAATTAAAATTAGGGATACACTTTGGAGGGTGTTTTAAAATGTCAGGTTAAAGATAAGCACAGTTTTTAACAGAAGTTTTGCTTCTTGTGAACACTATGAATGATGGCTGTTTCTGACACTTTATGAAAGTTTCAGTGTTGTCTAAGAAGTAAATACAACTTTTTGTGCTTCTGCTAGCCGGAAGTAAATGGAATAGGGAGGAGATGCTTGGCTGTCAAGTCTCTCCAAAAACAGTATTAATGGGGGAGGTGAGTTTGAGGGAATTATTTGAATGCTACCACAAGAATCCCTGTGCCATCATGGCTGCCTCCGAATGTTGCTCATTCTGGTGAGAGGTATAGATTAGCCGGTGAAAGGGAAGATTGTGGTAGGCTGGAAAGTAATTAACAAAACACTCACACTTGTTCTCCCTGTTAGCCTCAAAGCTCAATTACAGCCCATCATTATCCTCAGCTACTTCCTGACAGCCCGTACCTGGTTCCACAAAGTCAGATGCCAAAGACCCATTGATGTAAACTGATCTATAGCCTGTGGTATAGCCTTTTAAAGGTCTAAGTTAGACATATATATGAATAACCCACATAAAAGTAGTTATGGACAGTAGTGGAACTGTCATTGGCAAGAGGAAGCCTGGAAAATACAATTTAACCACATGTCATTATTACCTTGATAGATTAAAAAACCAAAATAACTTGCATAAATATTGATCAGAACGGTCTTGTGTTGAGTAATGTGAGATTTGCAAGTTGTGATGTTTCAGAGAAATTATCATTCACTTGTTGCAGAAATTTGCAGAATTCAAGAATTTGGAATCAAAAATGCACACAGGAATACCTCAGTTAACAAAGGTTCTGGCAAATAAGCTCCTTATGACAAGGGTTTTTTTTTCATATCTCTGATTTTTTCCTTATTGTATGAATAGCTGGAAAGTTTTTTTTCCCTCTAAGTAACATCAACATTCAGAAAACTTGTCCAAGGTTGTCAAATGTGCATTAATCAACTGGAAACTGTGTCTCTGACTCTCTTATGACATTCAGAGACATGGAAGCCATATGCAGAACTAACAGTGTATCAGCTTTATATGTCACAGAGTAACTTTCTGAGCATTTGTAGCGGGATTCTGAAAAGCTGACTTGTGTTGAGTTTTACATGTGGTCACGTCTATGTGACAATATGGCTGAAAGTCTTTGGCACAAAATAAATCAAAATTGCTATTTAATATGTTGGGAAGATTATAAGAATTGGCTGAAAATCTATCATTTCACAAAAACACCTAATGACCAAATCTGTATGCATGAGTGTTTGGGAATAACATATATTTGTGAATGGAAAATGTGATTCTTCAAGCAACAGATGTAACCATAAATGATGCAACAATGGGTTTTTTTTTAAATGTCTTAGCATTTTCAGTCTTGTCAAGCAACTGCTTAAGAATCTTGTGAACATGGATACAATTTATAGAAATTATGCTGTAAACGTGTGCATTGGTAAATAACATATACCCCAAAGCCAGAGTTAGAGTATGATAGAAACGATAGCAACCCTTGCTATTTTTTCTTCATTGTTATGTGCCCAGCATGTGCCTTTAAATGTGTATCAGACTATCTGCACAAGCCTCTTGATATTGCGTGAAGAATCTATTAAGTGCAATGGTGACATATTGTGGCTCAAAAAGTGTTCCTCAAATATCTCCTTTCCATTAGAGAGAAGCATAATCTTTTTGAGCACTGTATGCAGTCTTTCCTTGTTAGTTTGGTGAGGTTTCTTCTGGCACCCAATTATCTTGTCAGTTGTGTTGGTGTCCAACTGACAAGAGACTAATGGGAGAATTTTGGTTCAAGTGCTTTATGTTATAGATAGTTATACCTGTCACTTTGATCACTAATTTCGACCAATTTTCATAATAGCTGGAATCTTTCCTTACAAGTGATTACGTTGTAGAGAACTCGATAACATAGTGTTTTATCATTATCAGCAACTAGCCTAGCTATTACCAAAAAGAAAACAGAAGGCTCCTCTAGGAAGGAAGGGAGGGACAGAAAGGGAGGGAAAGAGAGAAAAGGAAAGGACTTGTAAAACTGACAAATTTGACTTCTAAAATTCTGGTGTGTTATTTCACCAGCAGAGTAACAAAGTGTTTTAGGCTTATTATGGTGAATTAGTGGAAGTCGATGATAGGAAAATAGATTTAAAACTCTGAATTAGAAGATCTGAAAACATTTCATGGGAAAGTTCTTTTTGGTACACTGATTGCAGGTGTTCTAGAAAATGCAAAGACTAGTTGCCTTCTCTGCCTCACTGATGAAATTGGATAACATATTGCATTGTTATTCATTGCTCGTTATCCATGTGGATGTAATATTTTGTGGGAATTCTACTGATTTTTTAAAAACTTTGTATCAATACTTGATGCCCACTTTTATTACTGCAGGGATGATGGAATGTAGGATTGCATTCATCTGATCGGACAGCTAGTTATACTATGTACTTCCAGATAGGTTTGTCAGATTAAATAAAGGTCAGGGCACCTATCCTTTTAGTGATGGTATAGAAGATGGAAATCTGTTATAGAAAGGGGCCGTGCTCCTAATTCACCTGGAAACTAGGAATTGAAACTGTAAATAGCAATTGTCTTGGCTGTTTTCCATTACACATCAGATGTTTCCAAACTCTTCTTTGATTTTCTGTATATATTTCTTTTCAAATGGAAGATTTTATGTTTTATACATTGGATTGTACAGTGCGATTAATTAAAGATAGTATTTTACTTAACTTGTTTGAATTTCTCAGATCTGTCCAAGGTATTTTTGCGGCCTGAAGCAAAGGGCAACATAGCCCCTCTGTTGCCTCACTTAGCTCCTATGTACAAAAGGCAACCAAATGACCAGTTCAGTTTTAATTCAACACTTGTGGCACTAGTGGAGCCCCTGGTGGCGCGGTGGGTTAAACTGCTGAGCTGCTGAACTTGCATACCGAACGAAAGGTTGCAGGTTCAAATCCAGGGAGCAGCATGAGCTCCCACTGTTGGCTCCAGCTTCTGCCAACCTAGCAGTTAGAAAACATGCAAATGTGAGTAGATCAATAGGTACAACTCCAGTGGGAAGGTAACAGTGCTCCATGCAGTCATACCAGCCACATGACCTTGGAAGTGTCTACGTACAATGCCGGCTCTTCGGCTTTGAAATGGAGATGAGCACCAACCCCCAGAGCCAGACACAACTTGACTTACTGTCAGAGGAAAACCTTTAACTTTACTTAGTGGCATGACATTATCAGAGGAAGAAAACTGGTTCTGTCTAGATGTTTTGCAGTACAATTTACATCAACCCAGATCAGCATGACTCAGAGTTCTGGGGCATTCTTCAACATATCATAAGGACAAACAATAGCAAAGCCCCTCATGCAAGAAACATAGATATTTTTGATGGCTGCTCTGAAGCTAGGAGCCTCCCTTCCAAGAAAGGTTAGGCTGGCTCACTGCTTCTCTTTCAATTTTCAGGAGAAGATATTTCTGTTTTTACAGGCTTATGGAGAGGGTTTTTAAAAGATTGTTTTTGTTTCTATTTTTTTGGTCTTTTTTAATGGCTATATTTTAAATGGTTCTAACTTTATGGATAGCCTAATTACATTTTAACAATAAACTTTTGTAAGTTTTAAACCTAATTATATTTTAATTTGTTTTGGCTTTAACTTCTGTTAAGTGTCTTGAATCTCAGTTTTGGAGAAAAGGTGACAATCAATAATGGACAATGAAAGCAACAGCATTTTTGGTGGCAATGGATAAGTCATGTCACACAC